GGAAGAGCAATGAAAAGATCTTCTATTCTAGTGAGCTTTTTTGTTTTATGCTGTTGCTGTTTGCAATGTGAAAGTTAGTTGTCAGCACTTGCATTTGTAAATCTCTTTTTAAGGGCTGATTACTCTGGGCTGAAAGTTGGCAGGCAAGATCTCAGCCCTAGAGCATTGTTTGGGGTTTTGCATGTTTTTAAATAACAGATCTGACTAGTTTGATTGAGAGAATGCATGCTGCTACTCATACTCTTGTAACTCCAGACAGCAAAACAGACTGCATAAAAGCACGCTTGGAATATGAATTAGAAAAATTAGAGATGACTACTAATGAAAGCATAAGGATCATGGACTACATTTGAGGGAGGTTGGTGTGGAGTGGTTGATGGAGGAAGTAGTGGCTTTGGCTATAAAACAATTGAGTAGAAGTCTCTTCCAAGCTGTTTGCAAGGTTGTGGTGTACGTGGATACAGTGTGTTTATAAATATCTTCAGAAAGTTGAACATTAACTCTGCCAGTACTATGAGATACCTAAACCTGGACTAAAATGCAGTGTAAAGGTTAGCCTGATGTTGGCACCACAGTAGCACACACGTGTGTGGCTGTTGGATGAGAGCAGTCCTAGCTCTGCTTGGCTTGGCACCCAGACAAGTGTCATCATGTGGTTGTGTGCACTTATCTGTGTAGTCATCCTGTGGACCATTGCTGGTTTGTATCTGGTACGTTCTGAAATGATGGAATTCTTGTAACGAGGTGCATTTGTCAGTGAAGAACCACGTTGTTCTTTAGAAGTCTCATGCTCTTTTAAGACAAGTATTAATCCAAAACAACAAAACCCACAACTCTTTATTTGTGAAGGTCATTGTGGATGTTGCAGAGGGAAACCAGTTGACTGAAATATGTGCTCCCTGTGTCACTCAGCCAGGTGGTCTCAGTCCTTCCTGAGAATATTCTTGTAACTCTTCACGTTAACCACTGCTGACCAGGTGCCCTCAGGAACAGATCTGTACAAGTAAAGAGTTACTGCCCCATCATCTTCCCCTTTCTGTGGCAGTTACTAATTTAGCAGACTGAGCAGTGTGTTACCGTTTTGAGGACAGTAAGGTCTTCATGGTTGAATGTTGTGCAGTTTCTAAAGAAATATGATTTTACTTGTGTTTTTAACTTTGGGGAGTATCTTGCCTTCTTACAAACCAAGTTCAAACTGCTTTTGATAAACTTCAGTAAAATCCATGCAATTTGTCTTGGATTAGGTAGTTCTGGAAATAAGTATTTGTATGTCTCGAGTAACTTTGCTCTTGACTTAATATATCTGAAGTCACTGAACTTGACTAATTACTCTGTGATGAACAAATGGCAACCCAGAAGGAAATACAAAGATTTCTGATATATGTTTACAGAATTGGAATCATATTTAATATTACAAAATTATTATAATTGTGTACTTGTAAATCAACTCATAAATGTAGGCTATTCTGTAGACCATGTGACTAGACATATGTGAACAACATGGATTTTTTTGGTGAATCTGCTTGCTATAGAGTAGAAATATTATTTTAAAAGCTTACTTAAGAGATTGCGTGCTTATGAAGATTTTTTCTTGTGTTTTGTTGTTTTAATAATTTGGATGAAAAAAAATGCAGTGTGCCTGTGACAGCTCAATCTCTATCATTAGTATTGCTAGCCCTATCCCAAATGGGTCTGCTGACTTGTACCTTTCACTTAAATGTCATCGTCTTATTGGAGCAGCATGTACTTATGCAAAGATACGGTTTACCAATCATCAATTCAGTGTATCTTTTAAAGTGGTGGGCAAGTGAACTCTTCAGTGGGATGATAATTTTATTGCTGTGTTAAAATGCCACATTTCACTTGCTAATTTGACTAGCATCAGAAGAGGATAGACTGTCTTCCAAGCTATCAGTCCTTCTCTGTAGTTTCTAGTACTACCAGATATCGATTGTGGTTCCTGTAAACAAGCTTGTGTATGAAGATATGTATCAATACTAATTAAAAACATGCTACAACATGTCCTTTGAAGAGCCTCTAATGTTTTGTGATTTATTTTTTTTTTTTATTGTTTCTCTCCCTGAAGTAACACTGCTTTTTCCACAAACACTGTTTTCTCTGACATGATAGTCATGGAGGCCTGCAGTCATACAAGTTTCACGCTTTCGAAGACTAGTAGGTGGCAACTCCATGGTAGAAAAGTTGATGGCAGTAACCTTCCAGAACAGCCCTGCACATCAAGTTGTTTTGAAGTATATCACAACAGATGGGATTTTGCACAAGAGCACTTGACATCCTGGGGACTTGTAGCAGTATGACATACTAAGTGAAGAAAATTGCAAAGGAAACTCCTGCATTTGGGGTCTTTCCATGAGGCTTACCCATTTGCAGAAAAGCAATAGCTGATCATTGTTAAAAGCACAGGGTTTAGAAGACAGGTTGAATCTTTAAACAGATTATAGTAGTATCTCACTTGTTTTGAGAGCCATTTTGATCCTTAATGATAAAAAAACAAATATGTGAGTTTGGCATTGTAGTTATTAAAAATTTGTTCACAAGGTGAGTGGACTTAGTGTGGTGCATATCACAACAAAGTCGTGTAACTAATAAGAATATGATTATTAGTCTGAGTAATACAAGCAAAGTTACCTGGAGCTTCAATCTAGACCTAGCCTGTGATAAGCATTTTGTGTGATCTCATCTGAAGAACTTCTGAAAAGCAGTAGAATGATGTGCTGCTCCGATAACTGGTGGCTTGCCCAAGAAATTTGAAACTGCAATGTGCATATTAGTCAGGTGTTATCTATCAAGCTAATAACTTGTCTGCCCTCAGCTGAAATTAATGATTTAGCTGAATATTTTGTGCTTGATGGCCAGTCAGCAAATGTTTTAAAGGACATATGTGTACTAGAACTTCTGTTTGGTAGACTCGCATGATCTTAGCTGTTTTCCTTCCACAATCCATAGATTTGTAAAGTACTGGTGCTACCGCTATATACCAGAGGATGGAAGATATTGCAGCATGCCTGGGGACAGGCTAATCCTGGAAGAGAATGGCAATGTGTGGGATAAGCACGCGACACAGAAGGATGCAAAGTAGTACATTGGTATTGATATGGGGATCATAATGCTGAGTAGATAGCATCATTGCTGATTGAAACGTATTTGTCTTTCTGGAAAGTAGACTTTAGCTTGTAAATCTGGACTAATGTGCATGCTTAAGGTTAACAGCAGTGGAGATTATATACAGTGAACATGAACTGTGCTCTTTTAAGAAAAATATTAATCCAGAATTCTAAAAGGCTAAAATCAATTTCTTTAAAGAATATTAACAGAACAGAAGCATTCTCCAAGAAGCTTAGGCACCTTCCACAGTGTTACTGTGCATACAGCTTCCCATGAGTGGGTTTGAGCAACACAGAGTATAGCTATTTAGTACTTGGTTTTGAAAAACTGCTTTCATCTCGAGGATGGTTTCTGGTTACTTTAGAAAATACAGGCATCATGAATGAATTCCAGACTTTCTACCATATAGACTTTGTGTATATCTACGTGTGTGCAACACTGTACATGAGGGGCAGTATAATTTTTTTTTAATTTCTTTTTTCCTGTGTGTTTTTTGTCTGTCATTTCTCCCTTAAATAATTTCTATTTCAAGATGAGAGGCAGAGTGTTGGGGGAAAAAACTTCCGGGAATATAACAGTGATACAGTGCGTGTGTTTTTCTAAAACATGTTTTTCATGCTGGCTTTACATCAGTAGCATGAAGTGATAAGCAACTGTTGATTTAAGCTGAATATTTTGTCCTGTTGAGGGTGTCAGTATATTTGTTTCTTCAACTGTGTGCGCAAAATGTCTTATCTTCTGCATAATCCCATAATACAGACACTTGAATCAGTTCATAGGTGAGTGTTATAATTTTACTTGTCAATTTTGGAACGTATTCAATCAATTGTATGAAAGGCTTTTGCTTTTGTCCATTTCAAAATACAGTGTAGAGGACATTCCATGGAAGACCATAGTGGCATAGTCTGAAGGAAACACTTTTTAAGTTCAGTCTTTAAGTCAAGATATTGTAAAAAGATCTTATGCTGCTAGGGATGAAGTCACCTTCCATGTGCTGCAAATCTTCACTTTTTTTTAAGGAGATCATAGAGAATCTTACCCTGAGGTTCATTGTCACCAATTTGTAGGCAATAAATTTCTCTCACACACTGTTATAGGTGGAATACTGGAATTTTTTGGTGAATAAATAACTCAAAAAGCTTATTACCATGTTATCAAAAAAGCATGGTCCTTTCAGAAAAAAAAAAAAAATTACACTGATTTTACATCCCGTATTTACTTTCTGAGACTTCATGCTTTAAATGAGGTTTTGCTATTTTTTAAAGACCAGGTGTTTTTTTAAATAATAGTATTAAAAACCTCAAATTTCAAAGCAAAGTCACTGTCAGACTTTCAACTCTGCTCAGTTTTCTACTTGTCTAATGAAATAAAGTAATATTTTAGGATGATGGAGCAGAACAATTTGTTGAGCATTACTAATCAGGTAGAACTGTTGTAATATAAGTCTTAAAATTTGCAGAGATTCAGTGACTGTCAGAGCAGTTGTAGAAGACAGAGGTTGGTTTGTGATTAAACGTTTCCTAATAAGTTAAGTCTACCAGGTGATACGAAGATGTCATGGTTTGAAAACTGATCTGAATAATTAAGGTGAGAATCAAGTAAAACTTTCCCAGTGGAATTTCCCTGCCTGGTGCTGTGGCAAGAGTTCATCTGCACTCCCGAGGCAGCCAGCGCCTGGGAGCTGAGCGTATCTGCAAGATCGATTTATCCTCAGCTTCTGCCATAACATTTTCTCTGAACGTGTAATCCTGATCGTGTTATGTGGAAGTTCTTTGGTCCTCTGGTCTGAATCAGCATGGCGTGTCTGGAATGGCTGGGTGTTCTCAAGAGTTTTAACACCATCTACAGAATCTTTTGTCTTCCTGTTTCCGCAGCTTACAAAGGTGACCAGCAAAGTTCTCTCTGAGCAGCCAAAAAGCAGACAGCTCATGACTTCTGATCAGGACACTAAAGTTGTGGCTGAACCGCAGGTGCAGCAAGTACAAGAAGTTAAAGACGGTTCTCATCTAGTAAGTACTGTAATTACATATTCCTCTGGTATAAGTGTTGCATGAAATGGTTGGGTGTTTTTTAATGATTTCTTAATCAAAATTGTATCTCAGAATGTTTTAGAAGACAATTGGCTGATAACATTGCAAAATAAAATGCTAGAACAGATCTGTTGAAGGTGGCTAATTCTCCATACTGAGTAGGATCCTCAACTTAACTTTTCTTCAGCCCTACTTGGAATTTAAATAAACTGCAAGTTATAACATTTTGCACTCATTAAAGGGACAGGGATTTTTTGGCTATGCAGGAATTGTATTACCAATCTTGAGTTAGGTCGTAGTTTACACATTAACATGTGACAAAAATGCAGGAAATGCACTTGGCATGTATCTGTAATTGGAAAAAAGTACAAACCCGTACAAATAGGAAATTGCATTCTATAACAGGAATTTTGCTCAGTCAGTTCTGCCAAATGGCACATGCTGCTGCTTCTGTGCTACTGTGCAGGATCCAGTAAGTTGCTTAATGGGATGCTTTTGGCAGATGATATAGCAGACAGTACTGTGAATATATGTTGCAGTAAATGTTACATATGTCTTCGGGAGGATTGAATGCTTGATTTGCGTGTAAGCTCTACTCATAACATTATATTTTCATCTTTGATTGTTAACTGTGTATGTGGAAGAACGTTCCCCCTTGGGATAGCTTGAATGCTTTGCTTTCAGTGTATGTTCTGCTGGGCATTTGGCCTGTGCTGTACTAAGCAGCAGATCCTTGATGCTTCAACTTAACTTTGTAGCAAGCACTAAGGAGCATTTTGAAGAATGTTTTAAACTTGTGCTTTTCTTTGCTAAGCCAGCTGGTGGGGTGTTTTGGTTTTCCCCTCCCCCACCCCTTTTTTTTTTTTTATTCTGGGTTCTCTCCTGTTCTGTTTTAACTTTCTCAGACACGAATTCTGCCTATTTGACAATAGAGGAAAAAGTTGAACCCACTTTTGTGCCATACTTTTAAAAGTTGAGTTTTTTTTTTTTTTTTTAATTTTATTTTCCTGTACTCGGAACATTAATTCCAAGAAACCAGTGTATAAGCTTGAGTAAGAGGCTCTTGTAGATTTGCTTCAAAAGCTTGAAACTGTCAGTGCACTGTCAGTAGGTACATTAGTATTAATTTGATTAGTCTTCACATTGGTGCTAGTTCTTTTAATTTGGCATACTAGAATTTTTATACAGCTATCTGTAAACTTGGATCTAAATCTTAATTTCTGTTCTTTCATGTTTATTTGGAGAGAGCAACAATTTCTTTCCGTTTCAGAAAATCTGTCTACTCTTTTCCTTAGTAGAGGAGACTAATGTCAATTTGGATATCTTGGAATGTATCCATAGTTCTATAATGGTGCATTTAAAATAACTAATTCTTTTGAGATTAAAGCTTTTTCTTTGAGTATTTTATTACAAAAAGACCTGTAGCTTATTAAACTTTAGGTTATATGAGTATCATAATCTTATATGCACAGCATTGGAGCTCATTTGTTGTATGAGAATCATTGCCAATGTATGCTGTTAAATGTTTTCAGGATGGTCTCTTCCATAATGGCACACTAACATGAGTATATTTTACCAGTGCTTCAGAACTTCACATGAAAGTTTTGGGAACAAGGCTATAGTTTGAAAAAAACTTAATGGAGTACAAGAAGTTAGCAAACTAAAATCATTGAGACATTTCCGTCTTCCCAAAAATGTGATAGCAAGGAGAAGAACTTGTAATGTCCTGACTCAATTGCATTTAGCCAGTACGTGATTCACATTAACTGAAAGTCACCTGCTGTTTCTGGTGTGTTTCAATTATTTTGAAATCAGTGTGCTAGATTCATGTCTGTGATGATCCCTACTTCAGTGTGTATTTGATATGGGGCCATACTACTATGCTATCTAGTGAGATTTTCAGGAGTCTTTTTTATAAACTTTAAAGAAATTCACTGAATTACATTCTCTAGCTATTTGGGCTATGCCGTTACACTAGAATCTGGTGATACCTAGTCCAAGTGCTTTTGTGGCAGTTCAGGAGGAAAGCTGTAGAATTTGTACTAGGAATTTTGATACACCTCTGTAGATCCTGGAAAAATAACTCCCTGTATTCTAGTGTTAATTCTGAAGTTATTATATAAAGTATTTTTTGTTACATCTTTAAATATTAACAGTAAATAAATTTTCCTAATTGTGACCAATCAGTCTGTTTTCTTTGGCAGGAACAAAACTTAACACACATTATACTTTTGGTAATGTTGAACAGATAGTCAGTAGTGACTGAATTAAAGTGAAAACTTTGATATGATGGAACCCTTCAAAAATAACCTTCCAGGGTTGCTTATGTTAATGATACAGAGGTCACTTGTTTACTAACAGTTGTGGTGAGCAAGGCAAAGTAATTTATTCTGCCTTGAAGCAGCTATAAAACTACATGTTATTTAATGCCTAATATATAGATCGTTCACAAGCCTAGTATGGTTCACTTCCAATAACAGTTACTCTTGAATTTGGCTGATTTTTAGTAGTATTAACCAGCAGAATTTCAGTAGGTTTGCACACAAGTCGATTGAAGGAAGTTGGCAACTTGAAGATCCTCATAACTTTCTTGTTAGTAGTAGCTTACAATTAGAATTTGCATGTAGATAATTTAGAGGATACTAACACATTCTTAGCTTTGATAAATTTGGGAGTTAAGTATGCTGGTATTTCCGGCTTCTTTTAACCTAGAGGTAGGCTTTGTCACTTAAGGTGACATCTGTCATAGGATTTTTTTTTTTCTATACGGATTGGGAATTACACTTTCTGAGAAAGCCCTCGTCAGACTGGATTCAAGGAAGTTAGTTTTTAAGAAATGTTTCACTCCCTTTTGACTCACTTCTCTGTTTCCTTTTCGATCAGTAATGCTTTGCCACTAGAAATTTTTGGTTACTCTCTGAGAGAGGAGGCCAAGACCCAAATCCCATAGTGGAGGTTGTTGTCTCTGCTAGACAGGACTTAACTAACCTTTAGTGCTAAAGGCACAGTTTTCTTCCTTGCTCATTGATCCTAAACTATTCAACTGCCATGCCCACATTTGAATATGTGCCCTCCCAGAGCACTTTCCAAGGACCAAAGAATTTTTTTCCCTTGATTGGCTGAATCAAAGACCTGATCTGGAAATTTGACATTAACTTCAGAAGGGAATCTTGTCATTAAGTAGCAACAGGTTCTGCAAATGTTGGTATGTTCCAGTGGAGGATATTACCATGGTGCTGTTTAAACTTGCTGTCTGATTGCGATATGAGTGTCATCCATTCTCTCCCAAGTTGAAAAATTATAAGGTGCTGTCATGGGCTTCTGTTAATGTGAATTCAAACTGGAGTGGTGTGCTAGTTTTTGTCAATGCTTATAGGTACTGTAAATACAAGTTCAATCATATTGGTGGTTCTAAGCACAAGAAAAATAGTGAGCAAGTCAGAAAACTTAAGATGGGACTCGGTGGTACTTCCTAAAATGTTTTTCATAGGAGGTAGTATGGAAGGATGTCTTGGGCTCAGAGCTGCTAGGTTATGTTGTTCAAAAATACATTTGCAACATATTCAGGAATAAGCCTCATAGAATAAAAAGGGACTGAAGAAATCTGATTTGCTAGTTTAGTATAGGATCATGTGTATCATTTTAGTGAAAATTCAGTATAGCATGTAATCCTCAGATCATTTGCCGATACACAGTATTACATACATTATGTGCAAATTAAGAGTTGAGCAGCAGTTTGTATAACATGTAGGTGATATTTAATAATTCAAGAGGTCATGAATAGCTTTAAAAGAGAGATGGGAAGGCTAGACCTTAAACTGAACTTATATGGTATTGTCATTGTGAAGGATCAATACTGCTAAGTGTTTGCTCTTTCTGTCACATTATTATAGATTTAGACCATTAGAAAGATGCTCAGTAGTTCTGTACCTGTAGATGGCTTCTAATGCTAATGTTTAATTGCTTTAATGTGTAAAATGTGTTTTTAAACTCTTAACAGTCCATTTAACCTTGATGTATTGGAGAGAAAGCTAAGCTTTCTGACCGGCTGTTTCCAAAAATCTGCAGCAGTGATGTGATGTGTGTTGTGATGCTGCTCTTCTATTTTCCCACCACTGGCGTTTGGTATGGCATCAGCTATGGCCTGGGAGTGCAGGAGATTCTTCAGGAGTAGTTATGGTTGCGTGACATTATTATAGTGAAAAGATAAATGAGGTTAAGTATCAGGAGGTTGTAAGGACTGTTTTAACTTGTGCTGCTGTAACTGTAAAGCTAGACTTCAGGTCTGTAAGACTATATGGGATAAATCCCTACTCCTTGACAAGGAGTAGGTAGATGTAGAAATGAAAGTAGATGGGTAGGTATACTCTTGTTAATAAGCACGTTTGACTTCTTGCCTTATGTGTAGGTGTGTGCAGGACATGGGACTAAAACACTTATTAAAAAATATAATTGTTCAGGTTATGAAAGTGCTGCTTCAGAGCAGTTTTGTTTCATGGAGAGGGAAAACCTGTTTAGGCTTTGAGTAGATGAGAACTATACCAGAGCTAAAATATATATGTATAAAGGAAAAAATCCAAAATAAACAAAAGCCACACCTGCCAGCTGAGCTGGACTGTGAAGTGGCAGAGCACAAATTCTGTTAAAGTGCTTTTCAAGTCAGGTGGTGATGTTTACCTTAGCCAGAAGGTTTTTAAGACTTCCTGAGTCTTGGAAGTTAAACAACCAACCTCAGGTGATGTAGTGTAAGAACAGAGTGGCATTTTCTGCTTAAATTTATGTTGCTGGGTTTTTTAATGGTGATCCTACCATAAACAGTATTGAGAAATGTGACTTAATGAACGTGCACTGTAGGTGCTTAAAAATAGAAATTATCCCTGGAACTCTTAGATAAAACCAAAGGAACAAGTACAAAATGTGCCTTTTTCACATGAGAAGGGTATGGGAAAACTGGAAGAAGTTTCTGCTTGCCTGAATTG